GGCTGCTCTGTCGCGCCCCGCAAGAGATGTCGAGCGTCTTTGGACATTGGAATCGATCGTCATTTCGAGCCCTCAGGCAGAGACATTCAGTGCGGCCGAGTTCGAGGCTATGAGACAATTTCGGGAGCGGCTTGCTTACGACGGCCGAGCTTACACCGTCGGAATGCCGCGTCGCGAGACGATTTCCCAGCTGGCGAATAATCCTGAGGTCGCGAAGAATCGCCTTGCTGCAAAACGACGTGCCCTGATTCGTTATACTGATGCCTAGCGCCGATACGACCAGGGGATTATGGAGTTCCTGTGCAAGGGGCATGCGGAGAGGGTTCCCGTGGAGGACCTCTCGGCCTCGAGCTCTCGTGATGGCTGTTTTTTCATGCCTCATCGGCAGGTCATCACCAAGCGAGCGACGAGGGAAGACAAGGGGCGAATCGTATTTGATTGTTCGGTGGCGGCGCCGGGAGAGTCCTCTCTCAATTCCCATTTGCTGGTCGGACCGAACCTCAACCCCGACATCATCCAACTGCTGATCAATTTCCGCCTGAGGGCGATCGCCTTGTCGGCCGATGTCGCCGAGGCATACATGACTCTCAATCTCATTCCGGAGGATCGACCGTTCTTCCGATACCTCTGGCAAGGACCGGATGATGATCGAGTCGTGTGCTACCAGATGCAGAAGCTCGTTTGGGGAGCGTCTCCTAGTGGTTTCATGCTCGCGGCTGTTTTGCGCGAGCACTTCGATCGAGTCGATCGCAAAGCCGAGTTCCAACTGGGAACTTCGTTCTATTTTGACGACAGGCTGCGGAGCTTCGATTCGGAGGGCGAGGCGATTCGTTTCATTGATAGGCTCATCCCGTGAATGAGTGCGGCGAACATGCGACTCGGCAAGTGGAAGTCGAGCTCCTCAGCAGTGTTGGATCATCTGAAAAATGCACATTCGTCATCGGCATCTTCAGCCCTCGTCGAGACTGGGTTGCTCAAGGTGCTGGGTATCGCCTGGGATCCTGCCGAGGATAGCTTCCAATTTCGCATGCGGGGGGCTATCGAGACCACCACGAAATCGGAGCCAATCACAAAACGTAAAGTGTTGCGGGCTGTAGCATCCATATTCGATCCGGTCGGATGGCTTATCCCTTTCACCCTCCGCGGGAAATTCTTCATCCAACGATTGTGGACGGAGTCCTCCGGCTGGGACGAATTCATCACCCTGCACCAAGAATTCATCGAATGGATCGAGGAGATCACGAGGCTGGCCGCGCTTCGGATTCCCCGCTTGTATGGAAAACCCGGGCGAGGAGTCGATGGTTACGAGTTGCACGTTTTCGGGGACGCTAGCGAACGAGCTTACGCGGCCGTCGCTTATCTTCAGGCCAAGTATGAGGACGGGAGCAGTGTTTCTCCGCTCGTCATGGCAAAGTCCCGCATCGCACCGAAAGAGAAAATGAGCCTCCCACGTTTGGAGCTTTCGGCGGCCCTGGTGGCTGCTCGCCTGAGACACTCGATTATAGAAAAGCTGGGTGTCAAGGTTGACCGGGTGGTCTACCTCACTGACTCGGCCGTGACATTCCATTGGTGCACGGCGAAGGACCCTTCGAGATAGAAGACGTTTGAATGTAACCGAGTGCTCGAAATACAGAGAATCACCTCACCGGTGGAGTGGTTCCATGTCGCTGGGAAAGGAAATATCGCCGACATCGCTTCAAGAGGCGTCTCGATCGATGCATTGGCATCCCCTTCCGATTGGTGGCAGGGCCCCCTGGCTGTCTGATCCCGAGGACACCCGTCCGGTACGGCGTCTACGGGCTGGTTGTGACGTTGCGGACTCTGTTAGTTCGGAGCTTCGTCTGATCGCCGCACCCATGGTCGCCAGCTCGCCGGTGGTTGATCCCAGACGTTTCCGGAGCTGGGGAAAGGCAGTACGCGTGACCGCGAACGTGTTCCGTTTCGTGCAACGCTGCCGTCGCGGGTCAGATGTCTCGGAAGGTGAGCTTCGGTTGCGAGCCGAGATGCACCTCATTCGAGAGCCACAGGCTGGTCATTTTTCGATGGAAATCAACGCTACACAACGCAAGGAAAACCCTGTAAGATCTTCGAAGCTGAGCTCGTATCAGCTCTTTCTGGACGAAAGCGGGATTCTGCGGGCAAGTACCCGCCTCACGCAGGGACCCCACTTTACATTTGACGAGAGCAATCCTATCATCATACCGGGCGACAGCCGGCTCGCCGTCCTACTCATCTTACACTACCATCGAATGAATGCGCACCTTGGCGTCGGCTCTATTTTAAATGCTCTACGGCGGCGTTTCTGGTTGACGCGCGGACAACAAGTTATCAAAAGGGTACTCCGTAGTTACGAAATTTGTAGTCGGAATCATGGGGCCTCGGCTGGTCAGGTCCAAGCTCCACTTCCCGTAGAGCGGACGACCCTTAGGGCACTACTCGTGTTCCTTTATTGACACTTACGGAGAATAATCGTCTGCGCTCCACGCGCGCGTACTTCATTTAAATTACTTGACAACCTTATAGTCTGTGAATCGTGTTCCCGCGGAAAGATGCCGAGAGCGGCAAACAGGCCTAGATCGATGAGCGGCAGAGCTCCATCACCCGGCTATATTTTCTCCGACACTTGTGCCGGCAGTAAGAGGTCCTACAGCGGTGCTAACTATTTCTTGACTCTAAGTGATGACATAATTCGATATAGGAAAGACCACGTTGTCCAATCGAAGGACCAAGTGCCAGATTGCATCGAGTCTTTCACTCGGTGGTTCAAGAACCAGACCGATCACGACATCTATCACTTCAAATCAGATGAAGGAGGAGAATTTAAGAAACAGAGAGTTGCCGAAATTATGGATAAAATAGGCGCGGAGATCAGTTATTCGCCGCCTTGTACTCCTACGCAAAATGGTGTCAGCGAACGCTTGAATCGAACGCTTTTAAATTTGACTCGAGCCATGCTAATTGATGCGACGCTCCCGGAAGGACTGTGGGCTGACAGAGTCAACTTCGCCGCACACGTCCTGAATTGTGTTAAAGTGCACAAAGATTCGGATTAGACTCCATTCGAAATCATCCATGGCCGAAAATCTTTTCTCAAGAAGATTCAAGCCTTCGGTACACCCTGCGACTATTATAATCGAGATCCTGATCGAAAGGAATTAGATGACCGAAGTCTCCCAGACAGAATCGTCGGAATGGACGAGGATTGACTATCCTATAGAGTTTGGCTACCCGGTACAACCAGGGTCATCCGGACAAAGGATGTGAAAATCGCCAAGCCCAGCCCGCCAGACGATGATTCAGTCGAGTGAGACGGCGCAGAGTGGAGGGGGTAGCAGCAGAGATGGACTGACTGCCGATGCTGACGAAGAAGAGGAGCGCGCACCTGAGCCCTCCGTAGAACCAGTCGATGAAGAGTTAAATGCCGTTGCTTCCGGGGAAGTACCTGCCGCCGGAGCGGTTGTCGACAGGCAAGAAGTTGAGGTTAACCTACTCATGGAGGCCGCAGACTCAGGGATCGATCCAAGCTGAAGGCGCGCTATAGATACCAAGCCGGCTACGCAGATGCAGCGCCATCTAGCGTTGAGAGACAAAGCACTAGTGTAGATGAACTGGCGGACGCGCCCAGCACTAATGAAGAAGGACATATATGTATATATAGTTCACCTTACAGAGAGGTATGGCTGGAGGCAATGTCCGAAGAGATTGCTTCCATGAAGCATCACAATGTACGGGAACTTTCGGAACTTCCTAAGGGAAGACGCACCAAAGGCAATAGATGGATCTTCAAAACGAAGGAGGATAAGAATGGGGTAATTATCCGCCGGAAAGCTCGTTTTGTGATTAAAGGTTACGATCGGGTGGCTGGAAGGAACTTCCAGGAACTGTACGCCCCGGTAGCTCGTTTCGAAACTATCAGAACGCTCCTGGCGGTCTTAGCACAGGAGGCACTGACTCTATATCAATATGATGTGGATTAGGCCTTCTTGCACTAAGATCAAAGAAAAGAAATGTACACCCCACAGCCAGAAGGTTTTGAGGACGGGTCTGGGAGAGTTTGCAAGCTGCTGAAAGCTTTCTACGGATTGAAGCAAGCTCCGAAAGAATTTAATAGCAAAATCAAGAAATGCTCCCTGGAGCTGGGATTGACCCAGAGCACCTCGGACCCGTGCATGTTCTTCTCCGAGGGACCGAAACGACTCATGGTAGTTCTATATGTCGATGATGGCATCACGGGAGCCTCATGCAAAGAAGATGCTGAGGAATTCCTCGTTGCACTCGGTGAGGCACGGTCCTCAACCCTTGAATTTGGAAGCAAAATGAGTCCTGAATTTGCCTCCGAATGTGAACGCTTCGCTAGACTCGCCATGTGAAGCTCGCTCGGCTCGGAATAGCCAGAGTGGATCGCAGAGAAAGAATGGAAAATCTCTGTAGCCCTATCTGTGAGCCACACTGATGCTCAGTAACTTTTTTCGTAAATCCCAGAAAATAAGTTACAAGACAGAGCCCCTAGGAAGAGCAGCGTGGAGTGAGGAATCTAGCCATGTCGGCCGAGCTCGAACAACGCTCTAGTGGGAGCACCATTGCTGCTCGTGATTTGGATATGCACTGACTGAAATTGAATCGATCTACTCGCGCGGAATGAGCGCCGCCGCGATCGCGCTCTCATGAACGAGCGCTGTTTGTGTTGACTCTCCGGAATGCTTCCCTGGGGAGCCGACAAGGATATCAATAACATTAGCTTCTCGCTCAGGTTTCAAGGACACCACGAAATGAACGCAGTCCCCTGAGAACGTCTGAAGTATTGATAGGTTTTCTCGGCTATCTAGCCTACTAGCTCTGGCTGCGGTGAGCCTGAATCGATGCTGCGCTTGATACAACTGGGACAACGGCTAATAAAGACGAACACTGCTTGGTGTGAAATACCAAAGGCTCCCCCATATCAGTGGTCTTAATTATGCCTTATTTAGTGCTGGAAGGAAAGGGTTAGGTCAGCAACCCGCTCACAGTGATTATGACGGTCACTGAACTCACGCTAAGTTACAGAATACTGAAGTCGTTGTCCTATTGCCGGTCTGGACACTCTGAGTCAGCCCATGGTCATAAAGAATTTCTCTGGGTAGTTACTTTAGCCCGTCAACTCCCCCCTACACAGAAAAACAAGAGGCTTGAGGAGTCAACCCTTTACCCCTAATCACAGATCATTATTCTCATCCGCTCCACGAACACTTTTGTGGTTCAGGCGTTGTTTTCTCATACATGATGCTGACTCGCTTAGCTCATCTAAGCCAGACTTCCATTGCACTTATCTAAGTCATCTCCGCGGGCGTTTAGAAGAAGCGCTATGTCAAATTCCAGACATGGCACTGATTCTCAATCCCCGAGCTTTGCTTGAGATTTTCTTACCTAAGCCATCACTCAGTGCTGTTAGTAATCAAGCAATGAGTTGCGCGAATGTAAGCTTCAGTCTCGGCATTATCCATCGAGACTGGCATGCGATTGAAATTTTGGGATTTTCGATTATCAATTCAGACCAAATGTCTGCGCACTTTGTCAGAGCTTCTGATATCTCTGATTGACCGATAATTTCGCATCTCCCCTCGAAATCCTCTCTCAATTCCGAGGCTTGCTTAAGGAGCCTCACTGAATCAATATTCATTACGCCTCCAAATGGATTCTGGCGAACTCTTCACGCTGATGACGGCTAGACGCACCCCCAATCCATCGAGTGAAAACTCTCCTCAAGACCCCGAGATGGACCACAAGCCCTCTCGTTCAAACCGAGCCGCCACCCACTGCTCCCGATTAGTGCAAAGAAGGTTCACCCCCATTTTAGCTCGTTGTGCAAATGGAAATTGCTCTCCGGGGGGATGTTCCTACTATGCCAGAGGTTCCCAAACTGGGTTCCGCGGAACCCTTGGGGTTCCGTCGCTCTTTTCCGGGGGTTCCGTGACAAAATCTTTGCGGAACCCCAGTGTTCCGTGGGCTACTCTTTGCGCAAATCGGGGTTCCGCGACGATTTTCTGCTTCCATATGTACGGTCATATACGGGCCCTAGGTGACGTAGCCCTGTGGGCAACTTCTTTTCCTGATTCCAAATGTCTTCCTCAATACGAAGGGGATCGTTCTAATTGGCGCATCGATCGGCATCGAAGGCACACTGCGAAGGTCCTTGCACAAGGCACGTTCCCACTAGATGAGCATTCCTAATTTACACAAGAATTGACTTAAGCAATAAACATTCGGGTCTGCTCCGGAACAAACGCGTGTTTTCTCCTCTAATAGCTGCAAGGAAAGAGCAATTGACAGGACTTGGAATTTTTTGAAAAATGAGGACGGGTTCCACGGAACACTAGGGGTTCCGCGAAGGGTTCCGCCGAAGAAAAAGTTTGGGAACCTCTGTACTATGCAGCTTCCTGGTGGTGGTACAGATTTGTAAGTTTCGCATTTTGAAGTCTCCATCGTGATCCCCCAATATATCAATCAAAAAATCTCTCCAAATCTTGACCCAATCTAAACCACGAGGAATGCCCAAGTCCGACGATCATGACGACCATCGGAGGACTGATCAAAAGGATCAGTATAGGAAAATTCAAGTGC